TATAAATGTACAGTACATTAAATCATAATGTATAGAACACATTGCACATTGTGTAGCATCAGAATTCATCATTACCACACAATGAGATTTTAAATGCATACATTAATACTGTACCATAATGTACATGTATATGTATAGTACACTGTATGCTCACATTGAGAAAAGGAACACCATTAAATGCAATGATCACTGATCCACCAATTAACACTGTCTCATTGATCATTCCATTTAATATGGTGTTTCTTTTCTACAATGGAGCCAGTTCAAGAGGTTTATGATGACAGAGCAGCTGTGAGTAGAAAAGAAGAACTAATACAAACTGTACTGACTGATGTGAAGACTCATGAGGTTACCATAGAAACAAACCTAGCAGACATGCTAGAGTCAAGATACGTGATAAGAACTGATGAGTCAGCAAATAATAATAAAGAAACTAAGAGAATTAGAAGAGAAGGAGGGAACCTGTTGAAACAAGTAGGTGCTATAGATTTATAAATGTACACAAGGTAAAAGTTTTTTTTATAGAATTTATCAAAATTTTACAGGAACACTGGAACAGATTTATAGGGTATATATATATATGGCAGGGTATATTTAAAAACAGAAAAATAAAATGTGCGTAGATACATGTAATAGTAGACTTACAATTAGGCTGCGTTTACACTACTCTGGTTTCATTGGAAACACAGACTTTTTGTCACGGATACAGCTTTCGTTTACACTAGAACACATGAAAACGCATACTTATTCTGTAAACGAATGATAAAACGCAGCTGGTGGATTAGTGTAAACACCTAAAACCAGTGATAGCAAAAACTATTCAGATTCAGTAGAGTGGAGTAGTGTAAATGCAGCCTTAGATCTGTAGAAACCTTTACCTCGGTGTACATGTACAATAATAATCTTGTGCTATCTGTGATACTTTTACAGTCAAACCTGTCTAAACGGTCACTGCTTAAAACAGCCAGCTACTTTAAAACGGTCACTATTTAATGTCCCAATTTTTTGGACAATGACTGTAATACTAAACTTACCTGTCCCAGCGGTCTCTCTGTAAGATGGTTAACGGTCACCGACAGAATTAATCTCCATCAAGACTGATAAAGACTACCACTGTGTACAGGCGGCCAGATAGCCACGCCTATTGTACCACGCCCATTTTGAATTAATTTTTACATCATTAATAATGATTAATTTTTGTTAAATTGTTATCTCAAATAATACCTTCGAAATAATACTATATACCACTCAGTTTAGGTCTTTAGGGGTACCTAAAAGTTCTTTAAGTCTTGTTATATAGTTTCTATGGCCAGTAAATGTGTACAAAATAATTTAAACTGTATTTAAAGGCATTTCTATAAAAAGGCCACCTGCATAAGACAGCCACTAAATGCATGTCCCAAGGTGACCGTTTTAGACAGGTTTGACTGTACTGATTGTATTGTTGTTATTAGTTGCAGGATAAGTTTGATAGTGTATGTGAGAGTTCACTGGAGGCTATTGATGCACTTGAAAGTATTCAAAGAATAACAAGAAGTGGAGGAACAGAGTCATAACATTAATAACTTGTACGTTGATAGATTATATGTTCAATTTTTTAAAATTTTATTAATAGCAATCAAATTCAAAAGTAACTATTATTGTCACACAAAAAATACTGCTGCATTAGACTATCAATTAGCTAATAATAAAAAGATTACATACAACGTTAATTATAGCTACTTCTACATGTATATTCAACAAAATTAGTCAATTAGACACACATGTACATGTACACATCATTTAAAATTAAAATCGTGAAAGCTACATGCACATGTACATTGTACATTTATGTCTCTAGTACTAAAATAATAATAATAAAAGTTAACCACAACATGTACTTTTAAAGTTAAGCTATCAATCATTAATTAAGACACCGGCAACAAAGTGTGACATATTGTTAC